CAATCTACTTGTGAAAATCAGCCCAGAAGACCCTATGAATCACAACCATCCAATCCCGCTGTGCATGTGATTATAATGAGGCAGGGGCCATCTTGGCCGCAGCTAACAATAACAACAGACCTGACCTAAAGTCCCACTCTTCTCTCCCTGGCCTCCTTTCTGTTTCCTGGAACATGCTAGACTCCTTCCTGCATCGGGATCCTTGCACTCGTGCTTTCCTCTGCCAGGCGCATCCCCCACCCCACCTGCAACAGCCTTCTTCTTCCACTTGCTGACTCCTTTTCAGACGTTAGACTTCAGCTCAAATCTCACCATCACAGAGACTTTCCTTATCTAGAGTAGACCACTACTCCTACCCCAAGTTACTCTATCAAATCACTGTGTTTATTTTCATAATAATGTAATAATTTCATTGTTAGTTTATTTGTTTATTGCACTTTTTCCCTCCCACCAGAACATAAGCACTCTGAGGTCAAGGACCGTGTCTGTCCAATTCGCTGCACTATCCCCACCCCCTACAACAGTGCCTGGCACATAATAGGTGCTCAATAGGTGTCTGTTAAGGGAATAATGAAAAACTGTGCAGATAAAAGTGATACATACTATGTCAGTGCTGTCCAATAGAAATATAATGCAAGCCACTGCTGTAACTCTAAATTTTCTAGTTGTTATTGCTGGCTGCCCTGGAGTCGGCCCCTAGTCATGGCAACCCTGTATGTTATAGAGTAGCCACATTAGAAAAGTAAAAAGATACAAATGAAATTAATTTTAATATATTTTATTTAATGCAATATATTTGAGATGGTAAGGACCCTGGTGGTGCAGTGGTTAAAGCACTCGGCTGCTAACCAGAAGGTCAGTGGTTCGAATCCACAGCTGCTCTGTGGGAGAAAGATGTGGCAGTCTGTTTCCATAAAGATTTACAGCCTTGGAAACCCTATGGGGCAGTTCTGTTTTGTTCTCTAGGGTGGCTGTGAGTCGGAATCTACTCAACAGCAATGATGGATTTGGTTTGGGTTTTGACTATCTAAGATACTGTCATTTCAACATGTAAGCAATATAACAAATTAATAATGAGATATTTTATATTAATTTCTGTACTAAGTCTTCAAAATTCAGTGTGTATTTCACACTTACAGCACTTCAGACTTAGGAACCACATTTCAAGCGCTCAAGAGCCGCGTGTAGCTAGTGACTTCAGTATTGGACAGTTCAGCTCTATATATATTGTTGTTAGCTGCCATCCAGTCGGCCCCCTACTCACAGCAATCCCATGTGTTACAAAGTAGAACTGTTCCATAGGGTTTGCTAGGCTGTAATCTGTACGGAAGGAGCCCTGATGGTGCAGTGGTTAAGCACTCGGCTGTTAATGGAAAGGTCAGTGGCTCAAAAGATAGCAGCCTTGGAAACCCTGTCTCCTATAGGGTCGCTATGAGTCGGAGTCGACTTGACAGCAACGGGTTTAGTTTGGTTTGGTCATCTTTACGGAAACAGATCCCCAGGCCTTTTCTTCCTCAGAGCTGCTGAATGGGTTTGAACAGCCAACCTGTTAGCAGCCAATCGCAAACTGCTTGCACTACCTAGGTCTAATCAAAATTCCCTTTCCTCAGGTAAGAGAATTTATAAGAGTGCGTTATCAGTCACTGCTCATCCTCTGCACTGGTTTGATTCTCCCGCTGCTCTCTTTAGCCACACAGCTGGGGAGGGGAGATGGTATCTGAGAAACGTTTTACTTAATTAGTGGGCAGTTTGTTCTCTAGTTGAGAGGGCAGAATTAAATATCTGAGTTTTAGATATTGTATCCTAATGTCCTTTCTCTTCTTCCCCACTGCCCTGTCAGAGAAATTGTACAGTCATAGAACAAGTAATGTTAGATCTGACTTAGCCACCTAATTTAAAAAAAAAAAAAAAAAACATAGTGAATCTGTGGCTCAGCAAAGTACAGTGACTTTCCTGAGATCACACAGGTTCCATCAAACCCCACACCCTCACCCTACAGCCTCAATCCACCTTCTTCTGATGAGGTCACTGATCACCCATCCTCTACATCTAGCCAAACATGATAACCTCTGCTCTCCAAATGACCTGCACTGTTTTGCCTCTTCTCAGGCTATGATCTTTGCTTGACATAACATTCCTCTGCCCCTTCAGTCCCACCTTCCCAAATCCCTCCCAATCACCCTAATTCTGCTCTACCTTCTTGAGGAAGACTTCCAAATACCCTCAATCTCAATGCCCTCCACCAAGGAGTTTCCAACTCCCTCTTCATGGCACAGTGCCATATTCCTAACAGTTTTCATGATATCAGCTTTAGCAAATGCTTGTTCTTCCTTCTTGTCAACACTTCATCATAGTTCAAACCTTCAGCAAAGGTTTGCAGCACCACTTCAGCCCTTGGCTGACTGCTTTAATTTTTTTCTCATGCACTATTCTATTTCACACTCTCAGAATACCGTTAGATGACTATTATTCTCCCCATCTACAGATGAGAAAACTGAGGCTTAGAGAAGTTCAGTAACTTGCCTTCACACCTACTGGCAGGTCTGACTGACCTCCCTGACTTCAAAAGACCATGCTCTTAAACACTGTAACATGTACATAAAGGTTCAATTGAAATCACTGATTTTTTAATTAACATTTTCCTGCTACAGATCATTTAGAAAATGCAAGAAAGCAAAGTGTAGAAAATTAAAATCCCCCTTTTTTTTAAGACATAAACTGAATTTGTATTAACCCCAACAGGGCAAGATGAAGATGGAGCCGAGCAGATCTGAAGAAGTAATGGAGCCAAGAATGTGATCCAAGAATAGTTATGAGGCCTGCCCTGCCTGGGACTCATCGCTAGAGCCCTGGCGATCCCAGTTGTCCCCTGGACCCTAATAGTCAATAAAGTTCATGCAGTTAAACTGGCTTCTGAGTCATATTTACAGGGTGTTCATGAAAGGGTCATGGGTGCAACATGGGACTGTCATATTCCAGTGGCGTCACTAGGGTTGGTGTCAGCCAGTGTGATAACTCATGATGTCACCCTCCTCACCATGGACTTTGGCTTTGGCCAAAATCTTCTTAAAAAGGCCATCCTCCCTTTTTATTCCATAGCTTTTACATTCTATAATATTTAAATAGAATCATCTTAAGGAAAGATATGCAGTCGTTTCCTCACAGGTCTTGTTGAAAAGTAAAATATGGGAAACGTCTACATTGGACGGCTAGGGAATTCCTTTTGAGCCCAGCAGTAATTAGCTCCTTCTGCCTAATAATGAGGGATACTGCGCTGCTGCCTGAGACTGGGGAATTCCTCATGCCTCTTACTTGCTGGGTGCCATGAATGTCAATCCTCAGGAGAAGGCGCCCTCTGTAGAGGCAGCTTCCCCAGTATTTATAATCATGGTGGCTGCCTTTACTGAGTTCTTTTAATGCGTCAGGGATAAGGACTGTACTAAAAGAACAACATACAGTACAGTGGCATCACTAGGGTTAGTGTCACCCAGTGCAGTAACTCATGATGTCATCCCCCCCCCCACCCAACATGGACCTCCTCCTGTACCAGACGATACAGAATCCATAGGACTGTTTTTTGTACTGATGCTACTTGTAAATCATAATTCCTGTTTATCACTCCTTCTTTTCCTTTAATTATTACTTCATTCTCAAAAAAGTTATTGATATAGGTTCACAAATACTAACTACCACAATATTGTAGCTAAAACACCAGAAAATTGACAAAATCAGCCATTATAAAAACACCAACTACTAAAACTCAGCACGTCCTTGTAGCACGGTGTAGACGAAACCACGTGATTCAAAGCTTCATTGTAATTGGATAATAGTGACAGCTTAGAGCAGAGTGCGTTAAACCAAAACCAAACCGACGCAGGCAACCTGATTCTAACTCATAGCAAACCTATAAGGCAGAGTAGAACTGCCCCATAGGGTTTCCAAGGAGCGGCCGGTGGATTCGAACTGCCAACCTGTTGGTTAGCAGCCAAACAATCACTGCGCCACCAGGGCTCCAAGAGTGCGTTACGAGGTTCAAACAGTAAATTAGCATAGAGTTTAGCCTAGAAGATATATTGATACATATAAGCTGGGCTTACGAAAAATGTTTTTGTCGTTATAACTAACTACAGGGGTATTTTTTTATAAAAAATAATAAATTTCTGCTGAAACACTGCACAAAAATTTTATAGACAGTCATTTTGGTGTCAACACCTCTGACAGTGTCACCTGGTGCGGTCAGCACCTCCCACCCCCCACCCCCACCCCCAGTGACACCACTGCATATTCCCTGTGGGTCTCACTTTCCTCATCTTTAAATGTCAACTCATAGGATTGAGAGGGCCAAACAAAAACTGTTTAAGGAAAGTAATTTATATTATCTAGAGAAACGCGTTCTACAAACGCATCATCTACGTCTTTCAAATTGAGCTGGCCCTGTTTGAACAGCAGAGCCCTTGTGGCACACTAGTTAAAGCGATCCACTGCTAACTGAAAGATTGGCGATTTGAAACCACCAGCAGCCCTGTGGGAGAAAGATGTGGCAATCTGCTTCTGTAGAGGTTTACAGCCTTGGAAACCCTATGGGGTCGCTATGATTCGGAATCAACTCCACAGCAGTGGGTTTGGTTTTTGGTTTTGTTTGACCAGCGTGCACATGGAGCAAGCGATCTCATTCCTCAGAGTAGAACACCCCCACAAACAAGCAGCGGCAGGGGAAATCCCCGCCGCCTTTCACTTTTCCAACTGCCGGTTGGTCAGTTTCACCGTCGATCCCAGATCTACTCCTATCACCGCCATCCTGCGTTCCTTTCTGCTGTGCTCTCATTGGTCATCCCCTCAGTCGCTCTAAACCATGGGCGTTCCAGAGTCAGCCACTGGGAATCGCTGAATTTGGTTTTAAAAAACGCCGGTAGTGAAGTAGGCGGAGCGAATGATTTGAACTAGGATTCGGCGCTGTCGGCAGCCGAGCGCTGACTTCTCATAGTCACGCGGCTGAACGTTCCAGGTCGCCAGCCTTTCGCCCCCGAAGCCCGAGAAGCGGGACCAGACGTTTGGCTCCGGGTCGAGCGCGGACCCCTCCTGCCCTGCCATGGGCCCGCGCCGCAAGCCCGAAGCCCCGCGGAGGCGCAGCCCAATCCCGACCCCCAGCCCCCCGCGGCGGGGCCCCTCCTTAGGTAACCGGGCTGCAACCCCTTTCCCTCCGAGCCGACCTCCCTGCAGCCTGTCTGTGAGGTAGGCATGGCCGGTCGCCTGTCACAGACAGGGACGGGCACTCGCGTGCCGCGGCTGAACCTGCAGTGGAGCCTGTATCTCCCGACTCCCAGCCCATCCGGCATGGGCTCCGGGCGTGGCCAGGGACCAAGGCCATCGAGGGGCTGGAGAAAGGGAAAGGACCGAATTCTCTATTTTCTCATTACTAGTATTTATAGAGCCCTTACACAGCTCGGAAGAAAGACCTGGTGATCTACTTCCCAAAAATCAGCCTTTGAAGACCCTACTCGGACAGACATAGGGTTGCCATCAGTCTGAATGAACTCCACGGCAACTGTTTTGGGTTTTGTTTTGTTTTTTTTAACCACTAGCAAGGCTTTCTGTTAAGCTCTTCACGTGCATTATCTCAACTTTATATTGTCCCTATTGTACAGATGAGAAAACTGAGGCGCAGACAGGCCAGATAACTTGAGCAAGATCACCCACCTTGTTCCAGCAGACACGGGATTTTTTACAATCTGTGCTTTTTAAAATTGCATTAAATATTGGCGGCTTTCTGTAACCATTTCAAACATAATCCTGCTCTTAGCAGGGATCTTCCCAGGGTTGTTTTCTTCAGTGAGTGGCTGTGTTGGGTGTTGAGCCAAGGCCCTCTAACTCGAAGAGCTCTCACTTTGTTCCCTTCTAGAAGTTGTGTCCCTGGAAAGCAGGACAGAGTCGTGGTCCTCAGTATCTGTCCTGTGGATGGGTGGCAGCAACTGCTGTACTTACCTTCTAACTCTTCTGTTACATAGCCAAGCGCAGGGCGAAAAAAAGAAGTGTATAGAAGTGTATACATAGATGCTGCTGTTGTGAATGGGGTTTTTCTTTCTAAAACATAAGTAACCTTTGCATCCAGCCACTTGCTGAGTTCTCTTGTTAATCCTAATAGTCTTTTAGTTGCTTCAATGGAAATTTTTAAGTAGACCATTATATTGTCTACAGATAATGACTTTTGAATATTCCTTTTTAAGTTTCGTGAATTTTATTTATGTTTTCTTATTGTATTAGTGAGGCCCTGAGACTAGTATTGTAACAAGAGCAGTGCTTCGGATATCTTTGTCTTGTTCCTAATTTTAACAGGAGTATTGTTAAGTGTGATGTTTCTGTTGCTTTCCAATGTAAAAGCACCCTTCTCATGACTAAAAGTTTTCTCTCAAATGGACACTGGACACTTCTGCATGGGCTATTGGTCATATCCTCCTCTCACCTTCTCAGAGGCTTTCTGTTATCCTTTCTAGCACTTAGAAATCAAGCTGCTTACATGTTTTTCTTTATTAACTGAGATTCCTCTGGTATTGGTAATTTGTTGAGTTTGGTTCTTTTCATGGTGTTGGCTTTTTGAAATTGTTTGATGAGTTTTAGTTGTGTTCATCTTTCCATTTCCTGTGACTGCTGTATCTGTTTACTAAAGACTACCTCCAGTGACTGAATGGCTGAGTCGTGCAGGGGAGGAGGGGTGGATGCCAGTTGTTTATCTCCTGGGTCTGGGGCCTACTTCTTTCTCCTAAATATCACCAGTCACCCTGGACGCTGCTGTATTTCTTTCGTTCATATTCCCTACCGAGGGATAAAGCCTCCACTGCCAGCCATTGCATGAACCCCCAACTCATGGTAACCCCATGCATAATAGAACAAAATGCTGCCATCCCGTGATCCGTTTGGGATCTGACTGTTGTGATCCACAGGGTATTCATTAGCTAATTTTCAGAAGTAGATCATCATGCCTTTCTTCCGACTTAGCTGAAACAACATCATAGCAACACACTGGCCTCAGATAGGTGGTGGCTGCAGATGAGGTGCACTGGCCGGGAATCAAACCCAAGTCTCTTACATGGAAAGTGAGAATTCTACCACTGAGCCACTACTGCGGCTACCGGCTGCCTAGCACAAGCCATCTCTGGATTGCCTGGCCTTACCCCACTTGCTCTTCCAGCTCTTCTAACACCTTTGTGGTTAGTTTGCTGTTTTAAAACTCTTCTATGGAACTACATGTGCGTTCTCTTTTCTTGACTGGACCTTGAACATTTCTGAAGTTAATTTTATTCTTGAAAATGTTAGTTTCTGTAGATTGTTTTTCTCTTTTTTAATTTTTGTTTTAAACTTGTCCGAGGTTTGTCCATTTTATTGATCATTGGTTTTATTTATTGAGCAAGTGTACTATTTTTTGTTTTATTCTTTTTCATTGCTGTTTCATTATTTTAGTATTTCTTTTGCTCTCATGTTCTTTGTAACACTTGAGTTGAATGCTTAGCTCCACTATCTTAATGTTCTTGTTTTCTAATAGGTATGTTTTAAGATCACAGGTTTTCTCTAGTACTACTTTGGCTGTATCTCAGGTTTTGAGAGTTGTCGACTTTTTATTGTTCATTTCTAAATTGTCTAATTTCAGTTAGGTTTCCTCTTTAACATGTTATTTAAAAGAATTGTTTTTTCATATTCTTATGTTTTTAATTTCTAGTGTCAATATAGTTTGGTCAGAGAATTTGGATTGTATGGATTCTACTTTTTGGGATGATTTTAAGATTTCTTTTCCTTTTTCCCTTTTTTTGGTTGGAACCAAGATTTGACCAAAGGCTGTGACTCAGTACACTGGCACTGAGCTATGCCCTTCTGAGATCCCAACTCCGCCACCAGTGAGCCTTGAGCAAGTGTCTTCACCTCTCTGGGCCTCAGGATAACCAAGACAAGGAGATTGTATTAGATACTCTCTCAGATTCCTGCCAGCTCAAAAGAAAACTAAAAATAACTGGGTTTCCAATCTAAGTGGGTAAGGCATAAGGATGTACAAAGTACTGTGGGACCCAGAGGAGGGAGGCGACCCATCAGTTTGGAAGGGATCAGGATTTCAGAAAGTTTTCATGGAAGAGTTGGCATTTGAGATAGACCTCAAAGGATCGTTGATGTATTCACTTAGCAAATATTTATTTAGCAACTATCTGCTGTTTTCTAGGTGCTGGGGATAATAGCAATGAATAAAATAGACAAAAATCCTCACTGTTGTGGAGCATATCACAGTTTAATGATTTCACAGTTTCCCTGTCTCTCAGCCAGGCTGCGGGGCACTACCTGTTCTCCACTGCACTTTCATGACCCAACTCCTTTGCTCAGGCACTTCCTCCCGTCGACATGGCCAGCGGAGACCTCGGGTTTTGAAGGAGATCCGAAAGCTTCAGAAGAGCACAGACCTATTGCTAAGGAAGAGGCCCTTCGGCCTCCTGGTGAGCTCCAGGGAACTGTCCACCAACCCCCATGCCGCCCTTTTTTCTTTAGATTTCCCATATATTGAGGAGCCTACCATCTGTTGCCTAAATGATTGAGGAACCTCTTCTCATTTGGTAGGGGACTCTCTTCATCTTCTGAAAACATGAACCCTGCAAAAGTACCTTTTAATTCTTCATGGAATTAATCTCTAACCCCCAGTACCTTTGAAACTGGGCCCTTTGATTATATAAATAGAAATTCTCTCATCCACCCATCCTTTGGTTCCTTTCCCTACCCTGAGAGATGATCTCCTCATCTCCCTCCCCACCACCAATGAGAGACGTGCCAGTTCCTACAGTCCCTAAGATAGGTCCTAAGATTAAGGGCCACAAAGGAATGATGAAGATGAGGATTCATTGGAGACTCTAGGAGAAAGTCTGTCTTCCCTTGAATCTCTTTACTCTCTACTCCTCTCCCATTCCCCTTCTCCACTCCTCCCCATCCCAATTCCTTTATAGGCAAGAGAAGTATGTGCTATATTCACTCGTGGTGTGGACTTCAACTGGCAAGCCCAGGCCCTGTTGGCCCTACAAGAGGTAAGAAAGGGCAAGGCACAATTGGATAAGAGATGAGTATGGGAAAAGGAGGAGTTCTAGAATTCCGCATGCCTACCAGGACATAGGAAACTGGTGGCACAGTGGTTAAAGCACTTGGCTGCTAACTGAAAGGTTTGTGGTTCGAACCCACCAGCCGCTCCATGGGAGAAAGATGTGGCAGTCTGCCTTTATAAAGATTACAGCCTTCGAAAACCTGTGGGGCAGTTCTACTCTGTCCTGTAGGGTCACTGTGAGTCGGAATCAATTTGATGGCAATGAGTTTTGACCAGGACATGGCTGACTGTGGACTGTCACAAGCTGAATCTTGTCTCCTGGAAAAGAACAATAAGCTGACACCCAAGGGTTTGGAGGCTGGATTCTTGTTTGATGGTAGCAGAATTCCCAGGCACACATTAGTCTCATTCTGTGAACAACCTTTCTTACAGTCTTTGAGCCCTCAGAGACTAAGTTAGCAGGTCCCCAAGAAAAAAAGCAGTCCGTACCCCCTCATCTGTGTCAGTCTCTCTTTTTCTCTGTCTATCCTCAGGCGGCAGAAGCATTTCTTGTTCATCTCTTTGAAGACGCCTATCTTCTCTCCTTACATGCCGGCCGGGTTACTCTTTACCCAAAGGATGTGCAGCTGGCCAGGAGGATCCGAGGCATTCAGGAAGGACTCGGCTGAGCTGTGGACGGTGTACCCATGAGCCTTTCCTGCTCACCCAAAGAGCAAGTACACTTTGAAGGAAAAACATCCAGCTTCTCATCTTGGGTTGGAGTTTCTCCAGAGGAATTTCCCTTCATCCTTAGTGTCGTGCTATCTTGCCTTTCTCTAGAAAAGTCTGGACTTGGTTTTAAATTTACTGCTTGGGACTCTGGCTCGTGCCTTTTTGTACAGTGTTAAATAAAGATGTTTTTCTATAAAGTAATGACTAGGACAACCTGAATCTCTGGCAGAGTAAGCCTCTGCTTTGTACAAGGACCAGATACCTTATTTTTATTATGAGAATTTTTTCTTAATTTCAGGGATGATAGCAGAGAGTCTCTGGAGCCGTGACCAGATCCATGGAGCCTGAGGTGCTGCCTGGACTTAGCTCCCTCTGGGGCAGTGTGTACATGTTTGTTGGCTTTTTTTTTAAGAAGGTGAAGACTGCATGGTTTCCTCTGCAAGAGAGGTAATATATGAGGCACTCAACATAGTCCCAGAGGCCTGAGAATTATTTTCAGACAAGAAGACTCCAAGGTTGACCTGAGTTTGTGAATTATTCGTGTGACTGTTTTCATGATTTTGAAGATAACAGATTTGCTGGATTCTGGGAGAAAAGGAGATTTACTTATTATTTTAGACCTTCCTGTATTATTTACAGCTTTTACAAGGAGATTCACTTATTATTTTAGACCTTCCTGTATTATTTACAGCTTTTACAAGGAGATTTACTTATTATTTTAGACCTTCCTGTATTATTTACAGCTTTTACCATATGTATATTTACTTTTATTTGAAACTGAAGGGAAAAAATATGAGAAGAGCACTTCAGTCTGTTGCATAGAAGAGCCCAGCATGTCTAGCATACAAACTGTCCTTCAGGTTAATCTCATCTTTAGTGGCAGTGTCAAGTTACTGAGCGGACTGTGCTGTCAACAAGTTTATAGCTTCTAAAAACTTTAATTGGGATTGACATAAAAAACATTTAAGGTTAGATGTTCTAGCTCTTTCCAGGAAGTTCCTATTGAGATTATTCAGAAATTCTAACTTGTAGAATTTAGCATGTTATTCTTACTTTTAAATGACAAAAGATGTGTAATAATTTATGCTTTGTAATTTTTTATCCCAGTATTTTAAAGTGCTTTTTCAATTGTTTTACAGATATATTTGTAACTTCTTTGTAGAGAGATAATAAAAATAATTCTTTAATGAAAAAATTTAAAACAAAGGTTAACAGATTATATTGTATATATGTTTTTGGGGGAGGTATTTTAACATTAAACTCTATGTTTTGTACTGTTTGCAAACCTGGACAAGAATTGAGGAGTGCATTTGTACCTCCAATGGAGCAGATAAAAACCTTGCCTTTCTGTTGCAAGTGAAAGCAATTTAAGAGATTTCCAGAAAAATGAGAAGTGCCACCCAAAGATTTTAGATTTTGTGAATGGTGAAAAATTATTAGCGAGGGCAGAATACTAATAATGATGTATCAGTCAACTGAATTCAGAGACAGACTTAAGGACAAGACCAAATTCTATTGTTTAATAAACAAATTTAAACCCTTCAGAAAAACTTACTGTTCCACATCAACTCATATTTATGCAGACATGGGAATAAGGCTTATTGATCCATGAATACACTGAAAGTTCTTGTCAGTGTCATAAATTAGATCGTAGTCTTCCACTGGTTTTCTTTAAATTGACACTTCTCTCTTCAGATTGTACTAACCAATACCCAAACGCACGGCCGTCGAGTTGAATCCAATTCATAGCAACCCCATAGGGTTTCCAAGGCTGTAAATCTTTAGGGAAGCAAACTACCACATCTTTCTCCCGAGGAGCAGCTGGTGGGTTCGAACCACCAACCTTTTGGTTAGCAGCTGGGCAGTTTAACCACTGTGCCACCAGGGCTCCTTGTACTAACCATTACACCACTATAATGCATGTACGTCACACTCAAGTGCAAGGCAGGATGCATGCTCTCTCTCAGCACCACATAGTATTCATTCAATTACATGAGAATTAAGTAATTTACATCATAATGTTATATAACAACATTCCTGTTTACTGTAATTTTTTAGCACTTTCACTGTTGTTTCATTTGTTTGCTCCTTCTGGGTTAGTTCATCATTATCTCCTAATCTTTCCATTGAATTTTTCTGTTTTCACATTTTTAGCATCTAAGAACTCTTTGTTGTTTAATAATGTTTTATTGTGTTTAAGGTGAAAGTTTACACAGCAAATTAGGTTCCCATTAAATAATTTCTAATTATTCAGTGATGTTGGTTACATTTTTCACAATATGTCATCATTCTCATTCATTCCATTGTAGTTGTACCATTTCTGGAACTCTAGTTTCCCTGCCCCCCCTTGCCTTCTCATCTTTGCTCTAGGGTAATTTTTGACCATTTGGTCTCCTATACATGATTTTTTTTAAAGGAACTCATTACTCACAGGTGATATTCTTTATTTTAGGAGCCAATCTGGTATTTAGCTAAAAGATGACCTGAAGGGATAATTTTGGTTCAAGGTTTATTGAGTATCTTAGGGCGATAGTCTTGAGGAGTCCTCTAGTCTCAACTGGTTCAGTAAGTCTGGACTTTTTAAGAATTTGAGTTCTGTTCCACATTTTTCTCTCATTCTGTTAGGATCCACCTATTGTGTCCCTGATCAGAACAGTAGGTAGTGGTAGCAGGGCACCATCTAGTTCTTCTGGCCTCAGGGTAGATGAGCCATGGTGGTTTCCATAGACTATAAGTCCTCTAGATTACTTTTCTAATTCTTTGGTTTCCTTCTTTCTCGTTTACTCCAGACGTATAGAGACCAATAGTTGTATCTTAGATGTCTGCTTACCACCTTTTAAGACCCCAGACACTACTCACTACATTGGGATGTAGAACATACACTTCATGAACTGTATTATACCAATTAATTGAATTGTCCCACAAAACTATGCTCCTAAGCCTCCAAACTCAGAAAACCAATCTTGTGAGATGTTTGGTTATGTCTAAGAAGTATCTGTAACTGTGTCCCCATGTGGTTTATTATATATGTGAATATACATGGATGCACACACATACCTGTATGTACCTATGCCTATAGATACTCTCTGTGCACACATATGTACCCACATGTTCATACTCATACATGTATATGCCTATATACATATTTGTGTAACCAAACACTTATTTTTTTGTTTGTTATTGGTGTTGTAAAATTATATTTGTCATATCCTCTACCAAAAAAGTCTTTTTCCCTTGTGCACTTCTTAGTGACATCATTTACCTTGATCAAGCTGCGTGCACTTCACCACATTCAATGCTACCTTTCCCATCACCAAAAATAACAAGTTTCTGCTATTTCAAGAGTGCTTCCCCCTCTCCCCACCATCGATCCCTGGTAACCACCAATGAGCATTGGTCTCTTATATATGTAACTATTGTCTTCTTATAAAAGTGTGATCATACAATATTTGTCCTTTTGTAATTGACTTATTTCACTCAGTATAATGTCCTCCAGATTCATCCACATTATGTTTCAAGGACCTATTCTTTAAGGCTGTGTAATATTCCACTGTATATATGTATCTCATTTTGTTTATCCATTTATTCATGGTTGGGCACTTAAGTTGTTTCCATCTTTTTGCTATTGTGAATAATGCTGTAGTGAACAGGTGTGCATATGTCTGTCCACGTCTCTTTTATTAGATCTCTAGGGTATATACCTAGGAGTGGGATTGCTGGATCATAAGGTATTTCTATTTCTAGCTTTTTGAGGATGCATCATACCATTTTCCGTTGTGGTTGTACCATTTTACAATCCCACCAGCCATGGATAACGGTTCCAATCTCCTCACATCCTCGACAGCATTCGTTGTTTTCTTTTTTTTTTTTAAATCGGTGTCATTTTTGCAGGGTAGTATCTCATTGTTTTGATTTGCATCTCTGTAATGGCTAATAATCACGAGCATCTTTCTTGCTGGCTGCTTTAATGTCCTCTTTGGTGAAGTGTCAGTTCATGTCCTTTGCCCATTTTTTAATTGGCTTGTTTGTCTTTTTGTTGAGTTGTTGGCGTTTTCTGTATATTTTACAGATTAGACCCTTATCAGATATATTGTCCCTGAAGATTCTTTTTCCCAGTCTGTAGGTTGTCTTTTTACTCTCTTGATGAAGTCTTTAGTTGAGCATAAGTGTTTAACTTTTAGGAGGTTCCATTTGTCTAGTCTTCTGTTGTTCTTGTATTTGTAGTTGTGTTTGATAATCTATTTAAAAATAATAATAATAATGTCCCATAGTTTTCCCCTGTGTTATCTTTATAGTTTTAGCTTTAACATGTAGGTCTTTGATCCATTTTTAGTTAGCTTTTGTGTGTGTGTGTGAGGTATGGGTCCTGTTTCATTTTTCTGCAAATGATTATCTAGTTTTGCCAGCACCAGTTGTTAAAAAGACTATTTCTTCCTCACTGAATGAACTTTGACCCCTTGTTGAAAATCAGCCGCCCATGGATAGATTTCTTTCTGGGTTCTCAATTCTGTTCCATTGGTCTATGTGTCTGTCATTGAGCCAGTACCAGGCTGTTTTGATTACTGTGGCTGTATAGTATGTCTTAAGATCGGGAAATGTTAGGCCTCTTTGTTGTTCTTCTTCAAAATTCCTTTGGCTATTTGGGGCCTCTTTCCTTCCCATATAAAGTTGGTGATTAGTTTTTCCATTTCAGTAAAGAATGTTGTTGGAATTTGGTTCAGGATTGCATTATGTCTCTAGATCACTTTGGGTAGTATTGACATTTTCACAATGTTAAGTATTCCAATACATGACATCACGGATTTAATTGTATCCTCCAAAAATGACTAGGCTGTGATTCCCAGTATTGTGTGGTTGTCCACCATTGTGTGATCTGATATGATTATACTAAGTGTTGTAAATCCTAAACTCTATGATGTTAATGAGGCAGGATTAGAGGCAGTTATGTTAATGAGGCAGGACTCAGTCTACAGGATTAGGTTGTATTTTGAGTCAATCTCTTTTGAGATATAAAAGAGAGAATCGAGCAGAGAAGAAAGGGACTTCCTACCACCAAGGAAGAAGAGCTGGGAGCAGAGCATGTCCTTTGGACCCGGGGTCCCTGCACTGAGAAGCTCCTAGACCAGCGGAAGATTGACGACAAGGACCGTCCCCCAGAGCTGACAGAGAGAAAGCCTTCCCCTAGACCTGGCACCCTGAATTTGGACTTCTAGCCTCCTAAACTGAGAGGATAAATTTGTTTGTTAAAGCCATCCACTTGTGGTATTTCTGTTATAGCAGCACCACATAACTAAGACACATGAGCACAGAATCTTCTTTCATTTATGTAGATCTCTTTTAGTTTCTTACAATAGTGTTTTATAGTTTCCATTGTATACGTCTTTTATATCCCTGGTTGAGTTTGTTCCTAGGTATTTTATCATTTTGGGGGCTACTGAAAATGGTATTGTTTTCTTATTTCCTTTTCAGAGTTCTCCTTGTTAGTGTAAAGAAACCCAACTGATTTTTGTGTGCTGATTTTGTACTCTGCCACTTTGCTAAATTCTTCTATTAGTTCCAGTTTCTTGTGGAATCTCTGGTATTCTATGCATAGGATCATGTCATCTGCAAATAGAGATAGTTTTACTTCTTCCTTTCCAATTTGGATACCCTTTATTTCCCTTTCTTGCCTTATTACTCCAGTAATTGCTTTCAGTACAATATTGAATAAGAGTGGTGATAATGGGCATCCTTGTCTTTTTCCCCTTCTCAAGGAGAAGAGTCTCAAGTCTTTCTCCATTGAGGATAATGTTGACTGTTGGTTTTGCATATATGCCCTTAATTATTGTCTTAGTCATCTAGTGCTGCTATAACAGAAATACCACAAGTGGATGGTTTTAACGAAGAGAAGTTTATTTCCTCACAGTCAAAGTAGGCTAAAAGTCCAAATTCAGGGCGTCAGCTCCAGGGAAAGGCTTTCTCTTTCTGTCGGCCTTCTCATCAATGCTCCCACGGACTAGGAGCGTCTCAGTGTAGGGACCTCGGCTCCAAAGGAAGTGCTCTGCTCCCAGCACTGTTTTCATGATGGTATGAGGTCCCCAACTCTCTGCTTGCTTTCCTTTCCTTTTATCTCTTGTAAGATAAAAGGTGGCGCAGGCCACACCCCAGGGAAATTCCCTATACATTGGATCAGGGATGTAACCTTAGTAAGGGCGTTACAATCCCACCCTAATCCTCTTTAACATAAAATTACAATCACAAAATGGTGGACAACCACACAATACTGGGAATCGTAGCCCAGCCAAATTGATACACATATTTTGGGGGGGACATAATTCAATCATGACAGCTGGTATCAATCCCACTTGATTATATGATTTTCTTAATATGTTGTTGAATTCTGTTCGCTAGAATTTTGTTGAGAATTTTTGTGTCTATATTCATGAGGGATATTGGTCTGTAATTTTCTTTCTTTTTTTTTATTTTTTATTTTTTTTGTGATGTCTTTACCTGACTTTGGTACCAGAGTGATGCTGCTTCATTAAATGAGTTAGGGAATATTCCTTCCTTTTTTGTGTTTTGGAAGAGTTTAAGTAGAACTGATGTCAACTTAATAACTTTTTGTTGTTGTTGTTTGAATTTTTTTTTTTTTTAAATCTCGGTCAATGTTCAATCAGATAAACAAAAACCACTATTTGAAGCAAAAAATGGATTTAATGGAAGGGATTGGTTATAATGGTGGGAGGGCTGGAAGAGAAGATCCTACCCAAAGATTAAGGGGCTGTCGGTGCCCACAAGCCTACACTAACTGCTGCTCTTCTTGAAGCACTGCCCCTGCCCTCCACTATGTTAAAACCACACCATTGCTGCTGAGCAGCACTCAGGAGCCGCTGAAACCACTACTGACACTGGACAAATCTGTCACCCACTGCTGCTTGCCCCGTCAGAGGCACTACCAAAACAAGAAAGAAAAATATCTCCTTTCTTCCACCTTCTAGACCCCACTAGTGTCTCCCATGGCAGAACCTAACCAGAAGCAGCTTTCAAGGGAGTCTGGGAATGTAGTTGGCTGGTCTCTAGTTACAGAGGAGAACTTGAAAGGGCAGGAAAAAAGATTAGAGCCAAGACATAACTGGCGCACATCCTGATCTTGTTTCATGGATGTAATACCATTTTTATGATATTTATTATACTTTTTTATTTTTGGCTTTTGTTTTCTGTAAAATGGG